GCAGATACATGATGACATTAACTGTGCAGCCCTGCCCTGGCTAAAAAACATGGACATTTAAAAAAACCTATTTTCATCACCCCCCTTTTCTTCACAAGTTTTCTTACAAATAAAAAAGAGCAAGAAAAGTGATGGTAACTGGATTGTTAATAATACATAGTTGTAACTGATTTATTTGGCTTCCCATCCTGCTCAAGGAAGGTTGCATTGTTTTGTGGCTATTGTTGTGTTATGGGAACTGAGGCTGGATACCAAGTGTCTGTTACAAATGTTGGGCCCCAAATTAAACACCCACACATACTGAAAGGACCGGTAACACAACAGGAAGGATTATTCATTTTGCAAGCAGAAAAAATGACAAAGTAGAGGAGTGACAAATGCTCTGGATAAATCCAGAGCTCCAATTTAATGCATGGGATAAGGACCTCTTTTTCCAAATAAAGACTCCCAACTCTAGCAGTTCCTTACTTCTCCATAATTTAGCTGTGCACATATTTGGCATTTAGAGTGTGTCGGATTTACACATTTGCTACCAAATGAGCTGCAAGAGCTAATCAGCTCACGCAGAATTGCACATATTAATGAAGAAGGCTCTTCTGCATGCCTGCGATGTAGACACCCACTTAACTGGGGCACCAGAGACTAATTTGAAAAGATTTTGTTCACGTAGCTCTTTTCCTATGATGAATGCTTGCAGGGAATTGTGCTGTAGAGAGAGGGAGCAAGCAGTATCTGCAAAATCTAGCTAAACGGTTCTCATTACTGAGTGATGGAGGAGCAATAGGAAAGATAATTTATTAGTGGCTTAAAGCTAATGAGAATAATTAGCACTATGATGCTTTCTAAGCAAACACAGAATAAGTGTTCCTTAAGGATTGCCGTCTCCCTGCAGGAGTGGTGAGTGCTCTGGGCAGGAGGACAGAGGACTTCCAGAGGCCGGCATCTTACAAACCAAGGACCGGGTCCAGCAGCTGAGTGGAAACACCCAGACACTCTCCTGGCTTTAATTATGGGCCAGCATTAGAGTTGTGTTTTCCTAGATTTTGGGCTAACAGACTACCTTTTTTCTGATCTCAAAACCAGCTACACTGGGCTGATGAATACAGAGTTTACACTTCAGCTTAACTCCTCAGAAACCAGGGGCTGGAAACTGCTGCCTTAGATACTGAGATTTTTTGCAATATTGCATCACACAGCGCCTGCCAAAACCTTGGCAAAAGCCAAGCCAGTTTAGGGTGTTTCGCAGGGAGTATTTCAGCAGCACTGGTCAGTTCTCAGGAATCCTGGCTGCCAGCAGATAAAATGGCATTTGGAGTAATTTCCTTTGTGGACACCCAGGTACCCTCCTTCCTCACTCAGTAAATACAAGCACAATGCACAGAGAAAACACAGCATCTTCTCGTGACCAAAGAAAGTAACAGGACAAATTTTGGTTTCCAATCAGTTTCAGCACAGAGCAGTTATGTGCACAACCGGATTAGCCAAAGGGCTGCACTCCTGTGGTTCCAGCAGAGCCATGGAACACTCAGGGATGCTGGGCTGCCAAAGGCAAAGGAAATGCCAGCGTTTAAGCCACAATGCTCAGCACCTGCTGATAAAAGCTAATTTCCCCCCACATCTCAGTTTTCAGAATTTACTCCTGCAATCCCAGTGTTCCATTACAGACCCAATCTCACTAAAATAAGCCTATTAAATTAAAATGAGGTGCACGTGGACAGCAGTCCCCACTCCCCCGAGTGCCGTTTCGAGCAAATAGGTTGTTTCATAGTTTGTAAAATGCGGTTGGCAAGGCCTCAGTGTTATTCTAGGAAATCCATGTAGGCAACATTTCTTTCTTGTAATATAGCACTATCAAGAATATGGAGAGTGATTTTGCTTTTTATTTTTTAAAAGGTAAGCAGACAAAATAGCTGCAGGCTATGTCACCAGGTCTTGACTTTTCTTTTGAAAAGCAGTTTGCCTCTAAAATCAAAATCACCCATGAAGCAATTCCATCTGAAACAATTGTGTCTGAAGCATTCTCTTAGAGCTTACTCATAATGGGAGTTGTATCTGCTTTTTTACTCCCAAATTAAATGCTGCAAGAACATAGACCTTACCTCTAATCTTTTCTCACCATTAATATCAATCTATCTCTGTGGATGACTATTGAGAGAATTTTAAGGCAGCAGGATTTGGGGTTCTAATGTGTTCTGAGTGGGAGTTTAGAAAAATTCTCAAGGCTGTTTCACCCAACTGCAACTATTTAGGAGGGGCTTGGGGGTCAGTGGGGCTGTCAGATCCAAAATGCAATTTTACAAGGGGAGGAAAGAAGAAATGGAGATCTGCTAGGTTGCTTTTCTTGATTCAGACTGGAAAGCAAGTCTCTTCTTGTCTCCGGTCCCTCTTGTAGGAGTTGCTCTAGTTTGAACAAGTAAGGACATGGTTATTTGGTCAGAGATAGATGGAAAAACCCCTTTACAACAGAGCCAAATTATCCACTCGGGTTGCAGAGGCTGGGATACAAGCTTATGCTCATCTTGAAACTCTAACCTGTGTTTCCCACATCCCAGAGCATTCACTTTCCCCGGATCTTGTCCAGGCTCCCTTTTTCCTCCTTTTGGTGGATGAAACAAATCCAACATATCAGCCTCTTTTATTAGGTGGGGGAACCATTTCCTATCCAGCTGCTTCTAGTCTGCACAAAACGCTTGGTCCTGCTGCCCTTCATCTCTTGGTCCAACCACACAGCAGGACTAGCACAGCCCTGTGGGCTATTTATATCTTGTTTAAGCCAATGCTGAGGAACAAAGTGATGCACAATCCTTGCTCAGCCTCTCTGCTGTGTACACGTTTTACCCTTCCTTGACAAGATTTAATCTGCTTAGGGTTAACTGAATAGCGGACGTCCGAGACCTTTGAATCACACCTTAAAAAGGCTGAAAGACCAAACCCATAATTGCAAGAGGAGAATTTCTGATTCACTGCAAACCATTTGTTATCAGCAATTAAGTTTCTTGCTGATAAATGATTCATGACTTGAAAGCCCAGATTACTCACTTTTAACCATGGCAGAAATTCCTGCGTGATTATGAACGTCTGAGCTATGCATCTACTGGGATGGGCTGTAAAGTCTGAATGTGTGAAATGGCCAACCATTTAATTACAGAAAACAAAGAGCTGGTACATATAAGATACTTTCCATTCACCATTTGTAGAAAAAAATGAAGTATTTCAATTTCAATGTGACTGATGCAAATATAAACATAAGCTGACTCAACTAGCAAATATAAACACCAACTTTTTCTTTACTGAAGGCAACAGAATTACAACAGCGTGACTGATATCCAGACCTGGTCTACTAATTAAAAAGGCTTGGAAGCAAAGCTCTGAGCTCCTGGTACACTCTAGTTCACAGTAACTAAGGCTTTTGTCAGCCATTTGATGTAATCATTTATGGTGTTCAAAACTGTATTATTCAAAAACCATTCACACCATAAACCAGATGAGTCGTGACCCTGTAACAGAAGGTAAATTATTCTCAAATATTTTATATTTGTGCATTAACACACAATTAGCCAAGAAAAAATGAATGCCCAAGTCCAAGAAGTAGCTGACAAAAGACTGAAGGGAAAAAAACAAGAATCTTTAATTTTATTATGGTGTAACCAGCTGTAAGGAATTACTGGTCTGAAGCACAGTGTGCAATTGTTTTATCCTAAACATTTACTAAAGCCTATAATTCAGAATGATCCTGACTAGTGATATCACCATTGGCAAGCTATCATTTTTTTCTTTTAAGTCTACATTTCTCAGCAATTAGCACAAACATAGGCACAGCCTATGTACAGAAATGCTCAATGTTTTCTGGAGACTGTATTTCTTTAGTGCCAGCTGCTCTGAGATCAAAAAAGATGCACTAAGTTCTGGACTGAACACACTCGATAGTTTGCTGGTAAGCAAAAGAATTCCTGTTAGAGATCAAATTGCATCAGTATGTATTGTTTCCTAAATGCAGGGCAGAATGCCTGCTACTAATGCAAGGATAGCTTGAAATAAAGAATTACCATGATCTTCTGCAAAAGTGCTATACACAACACGAAGTAATGTGCTAACTGAAAGGAAAAAAACCCACAGTAAGAGACTTAATAAATTAAGCTACTTTTACTTTATGATATTATGTACTACCAGGCAGCTGATTTTTTGAGTGAAGAGACTCATCAGGTACCTAGTAAGAGAAGATACTTGGCACAGCTCCATGGCCATTCCAACTGATGTCATGGTTAAAAAGCTGGCTACCATACAAGGCCAATTAGGCTACTGGTATTCCACAATACTCACTAATGGCTTCAGCAGCCAAACATACAGTGCCATTATTTAGGCAAGAGAGAGGAGGAAAAAACACCCAAGAAGGAGGTGAGATGCCTGTTCACCTCCTGAGCAGCCCAGCACTGAGGAGCCAAACTAGCAGAAGAAAATGAGATGGGCAGACTGAGAAGCAAGAGGAAAGTTTCAGACCCAAGGCACAGCTGTCTGCTGTAAAAAGCTGTTTGTACCCCTGCTGAGTACCAGGGCAGAGGGAGGCTGACCTCACACCCCTCCCATGCTGCCCAGCACACCCACACTGGGCTGTCCCCAGCCAGTGGGTGCTGAGAACTCATCCTGCACATCCTGGTTCTTCCTAAATCATTTCCAGTGGGGAAGAAGCTGAACAAGGCTGATTAATGATAAAAATACTTGTATTTTTTAAAATTTATTTTCAGTTCAATGTGAATCACAACTTCCTGCCCCTCTCTCTCCCTTCCTGTGAAGACATAAGTACCTCCAGATAAACTTTTTTGTTGTTTAAGCATCAAGAGTGTAACACATTTCAACTGCTGCTGATACAGGTTTTACAGTGATGACTGTCAGAGAGATTGTTTGTGCAACTCTTTAAAGAGCAAAAAGGAAAAAATCCCTCCTACAAATGCAGATAAACTTTTGGAATGTAAACATGTAACACACACAATTACTGCATTATCAGAAGTACTATGCATTTATCAAAACAGTTGAACATTACACTTTCCAACACATATTTAATATGACCCAATCAGAATTTGAAGAGAAACTGTGTACCCTATAAGGGTAATCATGTACCCCTATAAGATAATAATTCCTACCATAACTTACAGATGCATTTGACAATACTGATGTCAAAAAAGGAGGGTTTAGTTTAATTTTACCCATGCTCTGCTATTTTTGATGCTTGGTTTAATTCACTCAATACATTTATAAAGGTATGTAAACAGTTCTGATTTAAAGACCAGAGATGTTTAAATGACATTAACAGATCTGGACTGGTCAATGTTAATGTCTTCGTTAACTCAGATATCTTATTTATCCCTGAGCACCTTAAAATTGTTCCCCCCAAATCTCAGTCAAGAACATGTAACTATTTCAGAAGAACGTAAAACTGCATTTTGATAAATCTCTGTCTTACAAATCCCATTTTCCTTCACTGATTTAAACAAAACAAAATCAAACCCTTTGTTTTTTACATGTACTGCAATACCTTAACAAAAAAATTCACCCTAACAAACAACATCACCTACAGACACACTACAGACTACAAAAATATTGCATAGGAGTGTCAGTGGGCATAGTCTCCCAACATGAGAGAAAATGCTAAGTTTTCTTTAAAATGTTATGGCAACATTCTAATTTATTTTCCTTTTAAAAATCAAGTGGTTTCACTTTATTTCAAAATTGTACAAAATGGCCATGGCTGTTTATAAAAAAAAGTCTCTGTCTTGAGAATATGTGAAGTCTCAGGTGCGTCAACAAAAGACCTGGAACCATTCACAGTGCAGCGGAAAGCTTCTTTTGAGGCAGAAACTACAATTCATCCTTCTTCTTTCCTACTCTTTCATGGTCTCTTTCTCTCAGGGTTCGCATGAAAGTGGTGAATCCAGACTCCTGGTTTTGAAGAAAGAAAAATAAGTGTCATATTTTTGCACACAAACCAAAACAATGCATTAAGAACACTTTGAGTTTCAGTTTCCCAGCAGAATATAAACTAAGGAGCAGTTGTTTTAGTTTCTGTACCCCACGGCAGAATATAAACTAAGGAATGGTTACTGCTTCTGCGTTCCCTCATCGTGCCATGCTCTGGTCCCAGTGCTGCTCTGCTGCAATGCAAGGGGAAAATATCCGTGCACATTCCACATGTCAAACTTTGAAGAAGTGGGACACAGAGAAAAAGGCCCCAAAACTCACAGGACAAAGTAAAATCTGTCACTAGAAGTGCCATTGATGCCTTTTTGTTGAAGACATTCAAAGACATTCTTGAGCCGCATTTGTATGCTACTTGTGTAATTCTGAAAGCAGTCACTGGGTCATTTGTTGGCTATGCACACATATTTGCCACTGTTCCTCATCCCATAACAGCTTTGATGATGATTTTCCTCCTTTTCCAAACATTCCAATGATGGAAATCACATTATTTTCAAGCTATTAAAATTATGGTAAAAAATTTCAAACCTGGATGCCTACATGCCAATCTCTGTATTCCAACAACTTAGGATTTCTGGTTATCAAAGGCTGTTGGATGCCAGCAGTTTCCTTTTCCAAGGAAAGCTCTGAACACAGCTCACAGATGGGTGGAGGTGTGAACGCTGTCTACTGGTACCCCAGCACTACAGCTGTCTGGGCTCGTAGCACTGTTCCCACCCAATGTGACCATTTTTACTTCTAAGTAATCCTGAAACACACCAGTCAAAACTGGTGATAAAGAGGGAAAATACAGAAGTCAAAGTCTGACTTAAAACAATGCTGGGGAACAACAAAACAAAACAAAGAAAACAAAAGAAAACAAAACCAAGTCACAAGGCTGGGATGCTTTTAGAAGGTTGAACAACAAAACACTCTTCTAAAACTATTCACTGTTCTTCCACCGAAATAAATGAAGTGACAAGTTTTGGCCATATGTCACCTGGAGATGCCTGGCAATCAAGGGCCCCCATGAAAGGAGCCTTGTTTTCAAAGCTGTGCATCTGGAAGTCATTTAAAATACACTTGGGTCAGAGGGTGTCCTGACTCTTCCTTGCTTTGGTTGCTTGGGGTGAAATGCCCTAAAATCTCTACTCCAGAACAGGCTTGACTCCCTTGACAGGCTACGACTGGGGGTCATGCTCTTCCCCACAACCAGTGCTCCAGTGTGGGGTGGGAAATAGCTGAGAGCTCCTCTTCTATGGGCCATGGCTCCTGCTGTGGCATGTCATGTTGCCCCCAAAGCAGCTGACATCACCCCTCTTCTTTACTGCCCACAAGAAATAATTATGCACCAGCTGGACCACTGAACCAAATGTGCATGGACATCTGATTTAGTGCCAGAATCAGGAGCAGAAAGCAGGTCTCCTGGCTCAACTGCTCTCTCATTTTTTAAAGCACAAGATGGTTGGACAAGGTGGTTCAAAAGTTGCTGTCATGCTGATGAGAAGTCCTTTAAAAGCAAAATCCCTTGTCACTGAAAGAGATTTGTGAACAGACCTGGAAGCCATGGAAGGCATTGTGCTAAGCACTGCCTCCAGCATTGCCATGATAAGCGAAACAAACCCTAATTCAGTGCTGCACAAGCAGAAGACCATAGGTCCCCAGAGAGGTGGAGGGGAAACACAGCTGCCAGCAGCAGAGAGACTGTGATGTTCCTGTTGGGTAATTTAATTCTACCCAAGAAAGGGTTGGCTGCACGTAGGGGATTAGTTAGCCCACTTTCCAGCATATGGATAAACATCTCCCAACTGCTGTGGCCTCAGAGCACTCCTGTATTGTATATAAATTCTTTATCAGCCACCACAGAGCCTTCCTTTTATATATAATTTCTCTAAGTATGGGTTAGAGATGCAAAAATTGAGGCTGAAATTTTACTTAATTGTTGGCTACTGCACCCATCTTTACTTTTGAGAAAAGATCCAGAATTGGAACTAAAGCACAGTATCCATAACAACGCCCAGAGCAGCACCATGAAAAGGTAATTACTGGGGTCCAAGTATGCTGAAGAAAACTAGGAGGCGAAGCTCCATCAAGACTTCCCTAAGATCCTGACTAAGAGAGAATCTCAGAATTTGGCTTTTATCTTCAAGCTTCTATATAATTTGGTGAGCTGTAACAGCAGCAATAACTTCCAGTGAAGAATCTTTTATCAAAATCACTGGATGGCTCGAAGACCCCATGTTTTTCTTGCATAACCCAGCTTTTTCAGGCAATCAACTGCTGCTTGAAAAGTAACCTCCCTCTAGGAGGTTATGACAAAGAAGGCCCACAAATGACTGAATTGCTCCCCTATTTTCAGGCACTTTACAACCACAGAAGACATTATGCCATTTCTGCCCCCGTTTCTTGCATGTAATTAGCTGGCCACAGCAGGACAAAAGAATGAAACTTCAGCCCAGGGGTAGAAGGCACAATTTGTCTTCCCATCCTGAGCGCGAGGAGTGAATCTGATTCAGGGCAAATGAGATATTTAGTTTCCCCTGTACTCCAAAGGACAGCTTTTTCCTGGCTATAAAACCAATGGTCTGTCACCATTTGGCAACCTGGTGGACCTGTAACACGTTTGCAGTGTTTGCACGATCCAGAATGGACAAGAGTAGGTCCTGTAATTTCTGGCATTTCTGCACTCAGCAGCAGCCCATGCAATAAACCCTCCACTTTCACTTGGTCCAAATTCACTTGCAGATTTCAGCTTAAAGAATGAAATATACTAAAAGCATTACCAAATCTAATCCTTTTTTCCTCTTCTCATGTTCCTAAAAATAGACCAAGTATGTTCCTAATGCAGAGGTGTGGTACACAATGATTCATCCATGTGAGACAGTAACAGAAGCAGCTAAACATTCTTCCAGCATGGTGCAAATTTACTCCATAGTAAGGAGTAAGGGAGCGCAGGCAAAGGAGACTTTCCTCCCTGCACCAGGTGATGACTCTTGCTTTCACTTACCCCTCTTTCTCCAGTATATTTTTCCACAAACTTCCCGTAGTTGTAATAGTTGAAGGTGGGGTAGCCATCAACCCCCTCCTGCTTACACAGGTCGTGATTCTGTCCTTTGGCACAGTCCACTGCAGCGTAGGCGATCTGGAACACAAGAGATCAGCTTGAGGCAGGAGAAGACAAAGCAAAACTACTTCATGGTGATACTGCTGCAACTTAGCCTTAGCACTGAGTGAGACCCAAGTCTTCTGCCAAGCACACAACGGTTTCAGTAAGGGCTCAGCTGTGGAGGGGATCACAGGGTGGTCATCACCTGGCCTATGCAGCTGCACGGCACGTTCAACCTACAGAGCAGAAAACCAGCTTCCCAGCCTCCCCACTGAGCTCTGCAGTAGACTCCAAACAGGAAATCCAGAGGCTGTGTTACTGAAACCAAATACAAGCACAGTGGTCACAGCTCTGTCACACTGCAGTATTCTTCCTCCACTTTGGTTTTAAGTGATGAACGGTGATAGGGTGACTTTGATAACAGTAATGACCCACCTAACCCACACTCCTTCCTGTGGCATGGTTAATGCTTAGAAAAGTTACCAAACATGGTGGGTCACTTATGCAGGCTATTAATAGATTAATGATTTCTACCCCGAATAGCTTTTGTAAACTCCATGCACTTCTTCCAAGGTCAAACCGGGATGGGTCAGAGCCAGTGTGTTGCCTACCAAGCAGTGCACATGGGGAGGAAGGCTGCTTGCTTGCAATCTCAGCCTGTTTCCTTTCCTGTCTTTTTTCCATCTATCCGTTAAGGAGGGGACTGTAGTTCTGTGCAGCCATTAGCAAAGTGGGCTTTAATTCCTTCTGAAACCTCTAGATGCTACTGTCACACAGACAAACCCTGAGCAGGAAAGAGCTCAGCCTGTTGGCAGCAGAGCAACACCCTCCATCCCTGCCTGCTTCCACACAGGGCAGGGCGAGGAAGCACAGCCTCAGAGCCCCAGAGCGTCAGCTCAGGGCAACTCTAGTTTAGAGCACTGGACACTGGAAACCTGATTCTGTGAAGTACTGGGGAGGGGCTGCCTGCCCTTAACATTTCCAATGCTGAAATAAAATGTAATTCATAGGCTTCTACTCAAAGCAACTGGGCCCTGTGCTGTGATTTCACCTTGACTGTTCCTGCGAGCAGCAGCTCTGGCTCTGAACATTCACTGCTCATGCAGACTTGCCTTCACAGCCTGGGACAGGCTCTGCTGAAGAGCAAGCAGGTTAAAGTACAAGCTATGTAAAAAACCCCACCAAATTAGAGGAACGACTTTTTGCAATTGTGGGTTACAATTTATCAAGTGCTAATTTCATAGCAGACACATCTTAACTTGAAATTTCCGTTCCAGGAGCCTCCTTCAAACAATCTGATCAAAATACCTTTTGCTTGCATGACTTTAGGGTTGCAGTTAAACTGTTCTTCCATAATTAAAAGATCACTTAATATTCCACAATGCCCTCCTGTTTCATGGTGACACTGTCAAAACGAGAAAACCTGATCTCATTATCCTAGCAGTAATTAAAGAGATTGGCAAGGCCAACTTCAGTTAATTTGCTTGTTTTGTTTTGGCTTTGAAAGCCTGACAAGACAGTACTCATTAAGATCTTGCTTGGGTCTATCTTCAGATGGAAAGCACTAGATAAAGTGATCAGTGCTCTTACCTTAAATATTTGGTTTCTGTTTTCTCATTTTAAACATTAATAAGGCTATTACAGAACCAGGACTCTTGAGAGCTGTTAAAAACATGTATGATCCCACTTTTTTTTTTCTTTTTGTAAATACAAAAACTCATGCTTATTCAGGGCCAGTTAAAATGAAAGGTTATGCATAATAAACTGTAAAAGAGCTTCATCTAAGTATTTATGCCTTCCTGACCTTAGCAGCCAGACAAAATTTAGAGCTCTGTTGACTACTTCTGTGTAAAGGATGGCTTACAACGGAGACAAATATTTATTTTCATGACACAGCACTAATGTAGAAAGAATACTAGAAGTTCTGGTTCCTTAAAAACTGGAAGAATAAATAAAATCATTTTTTCTTACTGCTGTAAATATCACACAGGGAGTGATTACAGTCAGAAGAAGGGGAAGGCATACATGGACTCATCCAGATCTTAGTAGCTGGTGTGAGGCATGAAACTGTTGTGACTGATGACCTATCTGTTCTTAGTGTCTTGGAGATTAAGAAAATTAGTTTTTAGTACACTGGAAGAAAGAGAAGCCCCCTTTATCTGTAAATGGGTGTTTACCTCTCTGTAAACATCTAAAATGGCATTGGTTGGAGCAAAGAGTCCAATTTCATTTACAAAAGGCTTCTGTGAGAACAGCTCCCAGTGAGGAGAGGGTAGAGTGCAGGAATGCAATGCTGTAAGTCACTGTTAACCTTGTTCAACAGATCTTTACCTGTTGCCTCAAAACAGATGACTGAGGGACTTTAAGGAGGTGGCTTCTGGCAGAAATGCTTAGTAGCCTGCTTGAAATACAGATCTCCTCTACAGCACACGGAAACCTAAGCTGGTCCATCTGTGTGTTATTTGTGCAGTGAAGTAACACAGAGAGATCCCATTCTAAGGCTGTCCACAACAGCACCATTAGCCTAATGCTATGTCTAATCTAGCAGGTCTAATGGGACATGTACATCTGGAGTAGTGTTTGGAGGACATGTTCGTGAGCTGTTTCTCTGCAATACTCCCAGTGCAAGCTCCCACACAGCCCCACGGACCCACTGCTGCTCCTGCAAACACCATTTGGAGCCCAGCTCCTCAGAACACGCCTGTTTGGTTATTTTTACAGCCAGCGAGAGGAGAGAAATGGCAATTTCCAAAAGCCTTCTAACTCATACGGACGTGAGCAAAATTTCACAGAGACGTCTAATTCCCAAGACTGTATCTGAGACTGCATTTCAATGCCTGCTGCCAACAGTGGCTGAGTAAGAGTACTTAGGAGAGGCTTGAGTGATTACTTTAGAGTGGAAATGTTAAGGCAGCCTAAATATAGAGGTTGCTACCATCTCTATGCACTCATTATCATAGCATCACAGTCCTAATTGTCTTGCCTGTCTCACAGCGGAAGATTAAATATAGTGCACTGTAAGAAGAAAAAAGTAATGCTGGAAAACACTTGTAGCAAAACACACTTCTGGACTGAGGACCAACTCTTATCTCAGTTCTATCAACTCCAGACAGCTGAACTCTCAGACACACCAGAATTTCAGCAAACAGCACCGATGTCATTTGCTTCTTTCTGTTTGTGTTTTCATGGACAGTGAGTATTAAACTCCACTGCTGGTAGAGGTGTCTCCTGCTGCAGTTTTCAACAGAGTGAATTACTACATGGCTACGCTGAAAGGCTGCACATGAAAAGATGCAGCCCACAAAAAGAAAGGCTTTGCTTGATGCACTGTAGGGAGAGTTTCCTGTCGTTCTCAATCCTCTTAGCAACAATTAGTTTTTCTGCATCACTATAGAGGAAAACTAAGTTGGGAAAAAATAACAACCCGAAGAATCTTTATCAAAATGTGGTTAAAGACTTCTGGAGAATATTACTCTCAGAGTTATCTTAATTTCAACTACCAACAACAATTTACAGAGAGGTTCACTGGAAAGCACAGGTTAGCAAGACCCACATGCTTTGACCTATAAAACCACAAACTTTATTCAGCCAGAAATTGCAAATAGATTAAACATAAGACATCCCTGATACATACCCAGGAGCCAAGACACTTGGCATCACCTCCCATGAATTCCCTCTCATCAAGAGGGGAAAAAACCCTCTAAAAATCTGTGAGAGGAAGAAACTCTGCTAACACTGGTCCAACACTTGTGTGTGTGTGTCCATTATGGAAAAAGCCAGTGTAACAGCTTTCAGAAGACAAGATTGATTTTATGCAGATTTTGATTGTTAGGGCTAAAATTTAATTTCTTGAGCTTTCCTCTAACCAGAGAGAAAAATCCACTGAAAAAACATTTCAGGAAGAAAAAAACGTAAGTGCTGTATCTGCAACATGCACAAAACTCCAAGGGATTATGGATTCTCTATAACCTAAAGCTTCATTGCCTTAAATATTGACAATACATCATTATATACAAGTTCTCTCTCCAGAGCCAGTGCTGTTCAGTAGCTGTAGCAGGAACAGAATAGTTATCAAATGAAAAGATAATCAATCAGAGACTGTTGACCCCAGAATAAGTTTCCTGGAGTACATTCAACTTTCTTAGTGTTACTGGTAGTTCCTCACAACTGGTATGCAGCCTACAGTAATTCATATTATTGGGTGAGTATGTATAATAATGCATAATAATGATAACAACAGCAACAACAATAACCCCACCAGGTAAGTATGCATTTCTCCATAGGCAGTATAGTTGAATATCACTCTAGAAATATCTGAGACAGGAAAATATGTCTACCTGAAAAGGGAAGTCCCACAACAATGTTTCATGGTTTTATCAAAAAAATGAGAGCTTAACTACAGAGTTGCAAACTTAACCCTGCATGCCATTAGAGCGTGAGCACTGCGTGACCAGCTCTGAAGAGCTCTTACAGGAAATAAGAGCATGGCATATTTTTCAGATGAAGTGGTCTGATCACAGATGCTGAGCTGTTGCAAAAATCAGAACTTTTCATTTCGGTGCTTAAACAGGAGTGGAGCTATGCTGAAAACGTGAGCACTGATCTCCATGTGCCTCAACTGTAATAGAAGGATGATGCCTTATTTTGTTACTAAGTGTTAGAGAGAAAAATAAGTACTTGCAGTCTAATCCAATCATACATCAGGAATCACAGTTCCCTTCCAGCAGAATTACGAAACAACTTTTTTCTCTGGAGAGATCTTACAGGTAAGAAACAAAATTACATCCAATAGTTCAAATAAATGTGTAGAAAATTGAAAGTGGGATCCCTTGACCTTCCAGGTAACTTCCTCCTTTCTGTTCTTTAAGCTCTTTCTTTTTAACAGCTTGTCTCCCAGTCACCATGTGATAATAAAGTAAAAATACCCCCTGCAGTACTAGTTGCTCTCCTCTTAAAATATGTACTGCCACACACTGGTTTATTGATTCAAGGAAATAAATATCTGCTAGAGCTAATATTGACTTTTGTTATAAAAATGGAAGTGAATAACTAACTGAATATTGATTGGAGAGAGGAATGATATTTGATAAGCTTAAAAAAAAGGTAAAAATAAAATTGCAGCATGGAAATAAATGCTTCAAACCAACATTTTTAAAGAATAGTCAATTCCAGATGACAATTACCTGATTACTAGAAAAAAAAAGCCTGTTGTTGTCAAATGTCTTAAAAGCATCCATAAATAAGACAGATGCACTTTTTTTTCCCTATGATTGCTCCATAGTTTTCTATTTATATCACCTGTTCTGGATCCTAACAGCAGTTAGGGGCTGGTCTGCTAAGGCTTGTTGCAATTCAACTGCTCAAGTCAGTTCTCAAAGTGAAAGGCCTTGCAAATGGGAGATTCATTATTAGTTGCCCAGATGTGCCATGGCAGCATTACCAGAGCTGCAGTTCATCAGCTGTTCTCAAAGCAGGGCTATTTGCAGAGGGAAGATCCATTAGTAGGCACTATGATGTACAGTGCTCACATCACCATATTTAATGAGTGTAATTAAAAAGAAATTCAACACATGCTTTTTTAAGCAAATAGGGATCAAATTCTTGGCGAAACTAAAATATTAACTCACTTGGATAACTCTGTACAGTCATTTGGTTGGTATAATAATTTTAAACTATGGTTCACAATACACACTGGAGACCCACCAGTTTCACTGCTGTCTGGCAGCCCCCCACTAACACCCCAGCTCACCCCATTTGCTACACCCTTTCCAGCAATCTCTGCCACAGCTGTTCCTGTACAAATTCACTAGAATCCAGCTGTGGTGCATTTGTACAGGAACAGTCTTCTGTGAAAATGGAGAAGACTGGTCAAAAAGCAGCCCCTATGGGGGAGTGCCAGAGATTTGTTACTGAGAGGCCTTGAGCAGTCAAGAGCTTTCCTTCAGCAAATCCAAGCTGGAACATCACAAATCAGTTCCTTCAAGCTGAACTTTAGGATCAACCAAAAGGCAGAATGTAGATTTTTAAAGATTTAGTGTTCAAGAGACTGTGGAGCAGTTACTGAACATGCCTTCCTGCTCTTCGATCTGTTCAGCAAAGTGACAATCCTCACATTTGCATTTTCTGACGTGCACTGGTCACTGCCAGAACTCACTCTGTGGAGCAGGGGCCAAAGGCTCTCCCATGGCAGCTGTATGCAAAGACCACAGTGCCCCAAGGCAGGAATGCTCCAGCTGGATTTTTTTTCCCTTTCTTTTTCCTTTTAAATAACTGAAACAATAGGCTAACTGCCATTGGACTGGCCTCTCCACTGATTTGGTATTACTGGCACTGAATTTCTCCAGGCAGATGGAAAGACGAGGAGGCTTTGGTTTGTTGGTCACACCCCCGAGGCTGTGGTTTGTGGGTCACACCCTGAGCTGTGTTGTGCCCCAGGCCTGTGAGCAGGCTGGGGATTCCTGCTAAAACCACCAGCAGTGATTCAGCCAACATTCGAGAGCTGACATTTGGGGCCAATGTTCCGAGCAGTGCTTTTTGAAACTCTGACTCCGGCAGCGCAGATGATGAAAAAGTACAGAGCATTACACAGAGCCCCAGGGGAGGGGGGCTTATGAGCCAAAACCACCCCCCTACAGTCAATCTGCAGAGCCAAAGACACGTATTTAACAGCTCCAAGCTCTGCTCATCTTCAAACTTCCAATGTAAAGAATCCAAGTCTCCCAAAGGATACCTTTTAAGATACGACTTATAATCAATTCAAGGCTGGAATGTTTTTGATTGTACTTTGGCTTCTGCAAAATTAAATGTTTAATTAAAAGACCACCTTTATTGAAAAGAAGATACAGTTTAAGTGCTACCATACTCTCCTAAAGTGAAAAACCTTTCTCTGGGGGAAAAGACAAGACACTACTACAGAAATGAAGTAGCAAAAAGACACTACTACTAAAAATGAAAATTAGTAATCTTGTCCTGTTTTAGAAAGAAGAAATACTTCCTTCCTTTTAAGCAGTGATTTTACAGAAGTTTGAAACCCTACAGAACTACAAATTACCTTGAAGGCTCAGTCCAGTTTGAAACATGGGAATATGCCCTATGCTGCTTGTGGGAACAGCAATGTGCCCTTCTAAAGTCTTAAACAGGTTTGTTTTCTTTTCCACAATGGCACAAACTGGCAGAAAGAAGCACCTTGGCAGGTTATAGCTGTACACAATTAAATAGGGCTCCTGAGATAATCAATCCCTGGCACTTTCATAAGCCATTGGGGTGGAATAACGTCATTTTCCCTAACTGCACACACCTCTTTAAAACTGTACCAGCCTTAATATTCCCCCCTGGCTCTCATGTTCCAACTCATTACATTTTATATCTCCCCACTTCAGCCTTAAACTGAAGTCAAGAGTTGTAACTGTCAATCACTGCTCTGCTCTTGGAGCCCTTTCATAACCTGCAGTCTGAAGGAAAAGCTTCCCAGGCCTGCATTTCACACCACCACCATGTCCAGCTAACTGTGCCATCATTCAGATTGCTTGTTAATACATCCTGGGGCTCTAATAAGCAAGTTTCCCATTGTTTGGTACATTTGTTTCATCTCCTCTGACTGAAATTTTAATGAGTTTAAGAAAGAGAGGCTTCATTGGGAACTACCAGAAGAGTGGGAAAACAAGGATACTTTCTCAGAGATCTTAGAAACAAAAAAGTAACCAAAAGGCATCTGAGCAAACTAATTTACAGCAGTAAGAGAACTAAAAGCTGCATGCCTCTGAATTTTCTGCGTGCCAGAGGGCAGAAGTGATGGACTCCTAATTTTATGCAGTCAGTGATACAAGATGATTTGTTTCTTGTCAATCTGATGCATTTTCTGTGAGTTACAGGACAGATGAGAGGAAAAAAAATTTACAAAAATCCTTCTGCTATGGAGTATAACTGTTACAAAATTACCTCTTCATTTAGGATAGAATATGGAATTGAATAGACTATTTCAGCTGGATGGGACCTACAAGGATCCTCTAGTTTAGCTGCCTGGTCAATTCAGGGCTGAAAAAAGGTTCAAACTTTTTGTTAAGGGCTTATGCCCAAATGCCCCTTAAACACTGACAGGCTTGGGGGGCATTGACCACCTCTCTAGGTCACTTGTTCCAGGGTTTAATCACCCTCTTGGTAAAGAAATGCTTCCTAATGTCCAGTGAGAACCTCCCCTGGCACAGCTTCAAATCTTTCCCATGTGTCCTATCACTGGATCCAGGAAGAAGAGCTCAGCACCTCCCTCTCTGTTTTCCCTCCTCAGCAAGCCTGAGAGAACAAGTTCCCTATTAAACTGCCAAATCTTTTCCATGCCATACCTACACACAAAGCAACTGTGAAGTTACAATAAATTCGGAGGTCAGAATGAACTACAGTTCACTGAAAGATAGCAAGAAGGTTCCTAGCTACTTATCTGGTTAAATCCAGGGGCTCAGTGTTGGGTTTTTTTAAAATCCTAGATCTTCACTGGCTCAGTTAAAATGGTTCAGCTGAGGCAATGAAATTACCCACTGTGCTTCAGTCATCAGATGTATTTTCAAGGCCAAAGCATGAGGGTCCTAGAAGGGCCTGACATCCTGGGCTCAAGTCAGCCAACTTACAGAAATAAATTATATTTATGCTATGCAAGCAAGGATTAGTTACATGACTGAGGTCTTCAGGACTATCACACAACTTGTGTTTTCTCCACATGTGCCCCAATGGCTGATAAAAGTTGAAGGGGAATGGAGATTATGTAAATTATCTTTTTTTAATCCCCCAGGGAGAAAGAATTGTTCCTCACTTCATAGAAAAGAACTCTTACACAAAAAATTAAACATAAAAGACAACAAATAAAAGAAAACAGAAAAGGTTAAAAGTGTAACTCAATTTGACCAAAAAAGATACAACCCCTAAGATGCAGATACGTTTCTATTAGTGTAACAGCAGTTTTATCTACAAGCCTATCACCTTGTCAATAAGCAAAGCCTATAAAGTACAAATGGTGGAAATAATTCTTAAACATCTCAGAAATAATTAACAGCAAGTTACCTTGCGATCTTCTTTAAAGACTTCAGCAGCAGTTGTGAAATGTGGAATGGCATTTTTACAGTGGGGACACCCTGTTTGACACAGGAAGAAAAAGACATCATAAACTTTAGTTATAAATAAGATAATGGGACAAACTCAAGACACAAGGTGAATCAGTGGAAATTTTGTACTAAAAATCATTCTAGACAGGAGCTCTCCAGTTCTGGTAGGAGTGGGACAGGGCATGTGTAGACCGTGTGTCAGCTACATGAAATTAAGCATGTGTTTAAAATCCCTCTGACTTCAAGCAGTTCAAGTGTACACTTAAGAGTTACATAAAATCCCATATAGGGACCACAGGGCTTTTCTCTATGGTCAGTCCCTTAAGAACACTTTCAGATCAGCAGCCACAGACAGACCATTTCCCTGCTCTGTACCCCCTTGTACTGCCATGTGGGTTATTAGTGCTGTTGCCACAGACACCAGCTACACTTGGACATGGGAATAAAGACAGCACAGCTGTGAACAGAAGGAGGTTGGAAGTTAGAAAGGAAGTTGCTGGGAGCATTTAGGAGTGTTTGGGAATTGCCTGTGTTAGAGCCAAGCCACCAGGAACACAAAGGAGGGGAAGAGAAGCAAGTCCAACAGGCTACACATCTTTCATTGATGGAGAGCAGAAGTCCAGTCCCAGGTCAGGATGACTGCTGCTGGCCTTCCTGGAGACCTTCCTGTTCACCATAAATGGGCAACCACAGAACAATGATACAGACACAGCACACAAAAGCCCCACAGCTTTGTACTGGAGATGGGTTGATACTTCTTTCTACCACTGCAGCATTGCACAAAAGGCCAGCTGATCCCTTGCTTAAATATATACTAAATTTACTCAAGCATTTCAGAAGAAGCTACAGATGAGGAACAAGAACTGCTCTCTTGATTCAAGGTTCAGATCTGAGTGCTCTTAATTCAGAAGCAATGTTTATTGTCTATGAATAATCTAAACTACTCTCAAAACATCAATACTAAGCAAGACTTTGAAAAAGAAAGTACCTGCATATGTGTAACAAATTACTTTTTTCAAACCCATCACAGAGGTTGATCCCAAGCAAACACTCAGGACAGTTGTTTTTGCTTAGATGAAGAGAAAAAAAAGGAATGGACGCACTTCAGTCAAGCCTGTATAGTGCTAGCAAAGGCAAAGGAGTTCATCCTGCTATTATTTCTGGATAGGAACAGAACAGATCACAGACGAGTTGCTCACAAGCTCCAATTACAGCTTATGCTACTGTTGTTTACTTGTATTTGACATGATGAAAAAGTGTCTGTGTTACTTCTAAGTCAGTACTGAACAAATGCCCTCTTAGGAGGCTTGCAGCCACCCTCATAAACTACATGCACTCTTTCAGCTGACAAGAAAAACAGCATCTGTGCATAAACACTGCACTCCCCTTTCAGCTTCACTAAAATGCAATTTCATTGCTTACATGCACTACTTTGAATTTTAGAGTGTTTTTTATTTTGGAATAGGATTTTGAAAGCACTGCAATGACACACGTGTATAAATACACTGAGAGTCTGTGCAGTAACCAAGAATACCAAAAAGTCAAGGGGATGTTTCCTGGGAAACTAAGGCACTCCTGCAACTCTATCTTAGTGGCTTCAAACTCTTTATGGAGCACAATGGCAGTTATCTTGGTGGCAGCTGTGCTTCAATGGGAGATGGTGCAGGTCCCCTACAGCCTGCAAACTATTAACTTTGTTGTTCAGCATTTGCCTGGAAGAAAATGGTCAAGAAAGAAAAAGAGGAGGAGGAGGAGAAAGAGAAGAAAGAGGAGGAGGCTGGGTTTCCAGGCTGTTCCCATGTCCATCAGCCCACTTTGGTGACCTATTTCCTTTCCTACCACTTGTCTGTCCTATCTGCCTGATACTGAAGAGCCTGCAGATCAAGCCTGCCTCTTAACACATTTTGAATAATTTCTTGCACTATGGGGTGACTGCCTTGGTTGACTTGTTAACACTGCTCTACACAAATATATCAGAACTGGTGACATCTAAAAAGAATTCTGCAGACAAAAAATGGATAAAAATCAGGCACCTTTAAAGCAAGAACACTTGCTCTAGTCTACGTGCTTACATACTGTAGCTTTTCTGCAAACTTTAAACCCTTCAGGTTCCCCTTTTCTGCTTATGATCTTGAGCTTGAAATTAAGATTTCACTGAAGAGCATATTTTAAATCCTCAGTGAAAGATATTTCAGGGTAAGCATGATACTTCATGTCTTCATATTCCTCTCTAACACCTTTATGACACATCAGTCTATGTGTTTTCCACCTCAGGGGTGCTGGATGTGCAGAGGACAGGGCATTCAGTATAGTCCCCCTCTAAGCCCCTAGTAAAGTTGTAGTATGTAGGAGCTCTCCATGAGCCACACTCCTCAAGAAAATTAGAACACAATTCAACAAGTAACAAGCATATTCTTTCAAACAAAAAAGTCCAATGGCTATTAAAAATGCAAGCTGCCATTTCACATGGGCTAGGATGGTTGGTAAGGAAACAGCCCAAGTAGCCCTCAGCTGGTGACTGCTCAGAGGAGCATCAGCAGATGCTCCGTGTCCTCTCCACCCCAGGGAGTCAAACACTGCATGTGCTGCTGCACAGTGTTCAACAGGTGAATGGAAAAGGGCTCTGAGTGTGGTTCTCAGCAAAGAGACACATCCTGCAAGGCCAAAAGGAAGCATCCCATCGTCTGACTGTTATAGCATTTTGGAAAAGGTACACAAAACCAAATATGCTTTGGGGCTGCAGCCAACATCACTACACGGAGGGGAGTCGTGTAATTCAAAGCAACTGACAAAGGAACCTATGCTAACACCTTTTATTTCCTCTTCTCTGTGATCTTCTCCATCTTCTCACTCCAATACCTAATCACAAAAAGTTACCTTCATTTACCGATTTGAAGCTCCATTCCTCCTCCCCTCACTCCTCTCTTGGCCCAAACTCCTTTCTTTACTGCACACTGCTTGCAAAACTAAAACACAACCATATGGTTTTTGGCAGAGCTGCCTCCAAGTCCAGTAGGCATTTTGTTAGCCTTGGACATCCATCCACGGAACAGATGTGAATGCTACACTGAACTCCCAAGGCGTTTCAAGGAGTCACTGAAAAAAGGGGAAGGAGCACATCATATGGAACAGCAGAACTTCATCTGTTACAACTTAGAAGGATTGCCAAATGCAGCAAACACTTGGAAGTCACCCAACCCAGTCATTCTATTTAAAGCACGCATGCCAAAAAAAATAAAAGCAGAGGTTGATGTCTTCATTTTGACAGACGGAAAACTTGTTCTCCCCATTCCCTCTTCGCACCCACTATCACACGTTTATTTTAAGTGTTAACACTATCTTCTAGATTTGAAAGTGCAAAGAAAGGAAATGTACTGAGCACGGTACATGAAGATAGGAAGTGTGCAGCCTCCTTAGAAAGGATTTTTCAGATGGGCTGCAATGAAAAGAGATTAAACTGGTGGCATCTGAAGGTGTGGGTAATGTGTCAAGAACCAAAAGGTCCTGACCCTTCTCAGCAGTATTTATAGAACAGGAAGTCACTATGGACTAAACAAGTGGGAAAATTCATTTTAGTTAAATAATTCGTGTGCTGTGGTAAGCGCACAGACTTCCTACAGGGACAGACTTCCTACAGGGACAAGAAGTGGAGTTTCAACTGAGCAGCATTGAAAGCAGCACTTCTGGGAGCAGAGACTTCTAATGTAGATGCACGGCTTTGCTTTACCAATTTTCTTTCTTTCTTCATTTTTACAATAGTCTCAAATTTGATCTCAACAGGGTTAAGAGTAGATGTGAACTGAACAGTCATTTTCTGAGCCTGACTTGAGAAATCTGAAGGAAACAGGCTTCTGGAACATCCAGCATTTCCACAGGATCCCCATACTGGCACTCAAAACCTCTAATCACTCCTGCACATCTCAAGATAACACCATTTCCTAATGCAGAAGCACAGTTGCATCACCTGGTAGGAAAACAAGAGAGCTTGACATCTAAGGCACATGCAGCAGCATGTGTTAAGGCCATTCCCTGTTCCAAATCAGTAAATGATACAGTTTCAGTACAGCTTTGGCTAGACATTCTCAACTCTGTGCTCAGAATCTGGCCCTCTGGCCTACCCTTGCATTTTACATGAACCCTGTATTTTCTACATGGTTTTTCTACACCATTCATGCTGTAAAATTGGTATGAGCTGGGAAGGCACATTGTGGTACAGTCATGGCAGGCACTGTCACATTCCTCACCTTGAAAACAAAGTAGCTATTGACTGATTCAATATATGAAAAATATGGTTTTTGTGGGTAAAAAGCAGATGAGGGAAATCAAGCAAGCAAACAAGCGGCCTTCATTGAGACCCATTATCACTGGGGGGGGGGGAGGTGTCAGATTAATTAGAGAGGCATTTAAAGGAAAGTTAGTGGGTCTTTTGGGAGATGAAGTGATGGAAAAATATATAGCCCAGCTAATTTTTCATGGGCTGAATTTCCTGATAGCAGGAACAACTGCACGGTACAGCATCTTCTCTGGCTGTCTTTGAGGAAAGACCCAATGAGCCAGTACTGGTTTGGGCACAGAAAGGTGCTGGAGTGCCCAGCACATAAGCTGGCTTCATCCTCATAGATGAAACACCGCTTTGAGGAAGAAAGAGGCATTTCTGAAGAAATAAAGAACTGCAGGGTTGAGATGGATGTGATTTCCAAAATGATGCCACAACACAGTTGTGACATGATGTAAAACAAAGAAATCAGAAGGGGAAACAGAAAATCTTGCTAAGTGCTCACATCACCTTGTGAACTATTTTTTTTTTTAACAAAAAAGAGACTGAGGAAAAAATAATATGAACCCATTTGTCAGGTAAGACAAGAATGACACAAAAACTGATATGATATGGTAGCAATTCAATAAATCCACAGACACAATATCCTGTTCTCTGAATTGTAAACATTTCCCATAATTGCAGGATCCCATGGGGTGCAGAAGGGACACAGAGGATTTCAAAGCAATGGGACAATCTAATGAATAACCTACAT